CTGAAGATGGATCACAGCTGACAGCCTCTATTTTTTGAAGCTTTAAAATACAGTTTAGATAGTTTTTAGCTCGTTATCTGGCGCTTAGCCTGAAAGTCGTATCAAATTGAATTGCTATATTCAAGTAGACAAAGGCTGAGTAGGGTATAGGTCTAATAATATAATAATAATATAAGAGCTCACACGAATAGATGTGCATTAAATGTGAGCAAATGAAGACGAAATTAAAAAGTAATAAAAAATGTTGCCTACTTCAGGGCGCAGGCAGATGTCAACCGAATCGCTAGCTAATTAGAGATGCATTGCGAAATGCGTGAATGCGTAAATCATTCAATATGCAGCACACGCAGACAGCGGCCGTGCCACGCCCCCTAAGACAAGTGACGCCAATCCCCTGCCAATTGATTGGGAATTGAGATTGGGCCAATGTTGAAATGCGAGAATAATGCTCAATATATCTTTCGATTTGCACTCGCAATGCATTAGCTTTGCTCTCAGCTGTGTGTGTGTGTGGTGTGTGTGTGTGTGTCGATGCTGTCGCCTGCTGTGCTAGCTGCTTGCCCCCAGTTGGCTTAGCGTCCGGGCCATCACTCGTCCTGCCTCTTGCATGCTTATGCCGTAGTAAACAACATAAATTTTTGTTAAAGTCAACAGGACGAACATTCACTGCATATCCTTCTTGCTGGCTATGCACAACAACTACTTGAATCATCTGGGAATACACACACACACACACACACACATACATATATATACTTATATATATATATAGTATAATATACATAGTATATAATTATATACATACAAAGTTGACTCGTTTGTTGGCTATGCACAGCCTGAGCTCAGTTATTTTTTTGTATCCACTCGAAATTCTTTAAGCTGAAAACTTGATTCTGCTTTAATGGGCATTTGTATAGCACGATTCGAGTGGCTTGAGTCAAGTTTCATTTAATTGCGTAGTATAAGAGGGTTTCTATTCGCGAGCTCTGCATTTGGTAATGGTATTCATATCGATTAATCGATCTTCCACTCTCCAAATGAACGTTTTGTTGCACACAGACTGAAAATAGTTCACTTTATAGCATGCAATCGTTATCGATTTATCGATATTTAACTAATCATAATTCCGTCTTCTGATCTATTTCCAGACCTAGGCATTACACTATATAGCACTATAATCATAGACCCCCGCTCACATTTAGTATATATGGAATATATTTCAGTTTGGGGTATCTCCCAAACGAGCAGTCTCAAAGAGGCTCCCAGTCCACTGACCATTAACATAAGTTAAAATGATTATTGCTATAAGCTAAGAGCTCTTATCCAGCGGAGAGAAAGAAATGCATCTGTTCATACGAGCAGTGCCTGTGTCGTAGCTCCGACGGATTCCTCATTTAAGCACATCTGTTGCGCTGCGCTTGAGTCATTGCCTTGTACAGAAGCGCTTCTGGCTACACTGAGAGAATTACTTGGTTATAAATATATATATTTATTTTTATTGATAAATAAATTTAAGCAATCGGAATAGCTTGTTAAGAATACGAAATGTTTATAAATATGTATCGATGACATGTGTGTGTTATCGATTGCTATCGATGCTGTTTTGGTTCAGTTTGTTCGGGCGTTTCTCGCAGTGTACTTAACGTGGCGCTTTAGCTGACAGACATCCTTAGTCCACCCGACGCAACATGGGCACAGAAGCCAGAAGCCCGCATCCGTCTGCTATCAGCTTTGCCAGCCGTGCACACTTTGAAGGAGAGAGAGCGACTTGAGGCAGGAAGGGAGCGAGGTAGTAGCCGACAGAGCCTCGATGTCATTTTAAAGTCAAGTGAGATACCACACTTGGCACACACACAGTCTCAGAGACAGGGACAGAGGTGAAAGTCAGGTGGTTTGCCTAACCAAATTGATTGATTTGCTCCATGTCTGGTGGATGGCACGCAATGTGGAGCAGGACGCGTTGGGTTTTAGTCTAACTTAAGCAAATGCCATAAATATTTCACACGCAGGGCAGGGTGTGAAACATAAAATTGTGATTTGGCAGAAGACAAGAGGTTTGGGGTTAAGGTTAGAGAGAACTTAGCCTGGATGCTGGCTGGGCGTGCTTGGCTGACTTGGCTTTTTGTTGGCTCATGGCTCATTAGCCCGCAAGCCAGGCCACTGAGAAATGTCCCCGACCAACTGGGACAACCAACTGTGCTTACAGCGAGCAGAGATGCACGCACACACACACACACACACATACATATATATACTTGCTTTAAATTGACAAACCGATTAAATTGGTTGCTGCAAACGGGAGTCGAACCTGTTGCCTCAAATCGCAACGAACCCAACTTAATGACTGGCTGAGCTGACGATGCAAGTTCGATAATTGAATGGCTCAAAAGAACGTTTCGTTCATGAACTGTTGAGCAGCTCAATAGAACGAACAATTCATATCGTTCACTGATCACTCAATCGGTTTACAAGTTCGTTTCAATAAGACGTTCAATTGAACCGACTCACCGCATTGTCGTTGACATCCCAGCCAGTCTAAGTAACCGGCAGCAGGTAACGAGTACTCGCTGTCAGTAACGAGTTATCGGCTAACGCGTGAGTGCTTGTGTTTGTGTTAGTGTTTGTATTTGTGTTTCTGCTTGTTTACCCTGGAGTGTCCTTCAAATACGCTTACACACACACACACACAAGTTTAATCTGTGGCACGCTTTGAGTAGCCATTTGCTTTCCAGTCAGCTCGTCCATGAAGTGCAAAATAAATACAATAAAAATCGTTAACGACCAACAAAAAAAAGACGAAAAACGAAAATGGTGAGCGAGTGGGACGGGGGAGGGGCACTGCGGTTGTAGGGGTTAAGGGATGGGGTTAAGGCAACTGCCACACAAGCCAAAACAATAAAACAATAGCTGCCGAGTCCATGCAACACCCGCACAATTGTGTGGCAAATGATGCATGAGGTAAATAAACGAAGCCCCAAACGAAGCACAAGAGGATAGCCACCAGCTGAAGAGTATACGACTAAGTGCTACCCGGTAGTTGACTTTCTTTGAATTCTTGAAAACTTTACGAGACTTTCTTTCACAGATAAAGGCTCAGCTGTACTCTAGAGCTCATCTTAGACCTGTTCTATATTCAAGTTTCTTAAAACACACATCGATATATCGATATATCGTTAAGCATAGCAATAAATATATCAAGTATACGACATGTAAGCCTTTAAAGTTAGTTATTTAGATAGACATCGTCGTCTATTCTGCTAGCATCGCTACCAATTGCCAGTCACGAACATGTTCAGTTCACCAATATGCCCATTTGCAAGTCAATAGCTGTAGGGTATAGACATCAACTTAAAGCAAAATCGAATGAAATTCCAAATAGAATTCCTCCAAGCCACAACTCGAATATGTACAGGCTAGAAAAGGCTTCGCCGTATTTGTAACTAAAAATCAAATTTTATTTTCCAAATAATTTCCATTTCCGTTTATGTTTATGCCATGAAGCACTAAGCTAAACCAACTTTAATACCCACAGATGACAAAAACTGATTACAATCCAAGTGTTGTTCAACCCTCTAAGTGTGCGTGTGTGTGTGTGTGGATAGCCGAACCGAAGCAGCTGTGAATCTGATTACACCTAAAGTGCTAGGGCAAGAAAAACAAACAACAACTAAAAGTGCTCAGGTCGGGAGTGGCCGACTAGAAGATACCCAAAGGGTATGCACCCTGCTTAACTATGGGTTATTATAATAGTTTAATAATATATAGCTACAAATTGCATATCTGTCGTAGATCAGATAGCTATATCGATATTTATCGATGAGTATATCGATAAATAGCTAAAATGCTTTTCTCACTAGTTCATTTAGATATCGCTAAAAGTTCAATAATATATAGCTACAAATGTATGTCGTAGATCAGATTGATCTATCGATACTTATCGATAAATATGAATTATTGGGATAGAACAAGCTTAACTACTTTCCTCTCTTGTTTCTTTAGACTTAATCGATATATATCGATAATAGTCCAATAATATATAGTTCATAATTTCAAATCTGTCATAGATCAGATATATATAAATCGATAAAAAATAACTATCGAAAAAAAAAACGAGCTAAGCTTCTTTAGACTTGATCGATATACATCGATAGATATCCACGCCACGCCTTCTGCTGCCTGTGACAAACACTTACCCAAAATGATGATTACCCCAAAATTCAATGAGTTGAGGGTATGACCAAGGAAAGAAAAAAATAAAATGAAATAAAATAAAAATTGTTGAGTTGGGGAAAAGGAACGAAATTCGATCACGTAAATTGAGTTTACGCTTTGAGTCGCTTCTGAAGCAAGCAAAGAAAAACATTTGCGGCAGCACGTAGCTCGCTGAAAGCGTATTTGCAGTGCATGCGGTATTTGTTTAAATAGCGAATACTGAAAAAAAAAAATGAAAAAGTCGCATAGGAGCAGAAAAAAGCTGAATCAATTGAGGTTAGGTCATGCTTGCTGCTTGCTGCTTGCTGCTTGAACTTTGGCAACAAGTTGGATTGTCTTAGCCATTTCTCCACTTCAAGTGTGCAGCTGTTGACCCCGAAACGAACGTCCTTAAACGTGCTGGCAATATATCCCATGTCGAGTTACAGATCATCAGCAAAAAAAGCTATACAAATTGAGGTTAGGTACGGCGCGATGCTAGAGTGAGGCTGAAGCAGAGATTTGTATGCGGCCAACAGCTGTGCTATAGGTGCAAAATGAAAGTCTGGCAAAGATCATCAGCAAAAAACCCTTTCAAATTGAGGTTAGGTCAGACTTGATGCTTGCTTCCTATACAATTAATGCGCTTGAATTAGGCAAGCTATTGGAGACGAGCTAAGGGCGCCTAGCAATAGACGCAATGGGTCTTACCATTAACCAAAATGAAGCCTATACATAACAGTGAATTCGGCCAATCCTTGAGCTGTACTGATAAGGCAACGACAATGTTTTCATTTGATATCCATATATTTAATGTTGTCTGCTTGAGATCATGTATTGTATTTCTTGTATTATACAGCAAAACTAAAAACAGTTAGTTGTTCAGTGTGTGTGTGGGCGTGTGGGCGTGTCAGTGTGTGTCAAGAAGTAAACAAAACGCATTTTCCAAAACAGTCAAAGAGAGCGAGCCAAAGAGTTAGAGAGAGAGAGTGAGCGAGCGAGCGAGCCAGAGCGAGAGAGAGCTAAAAAGCACATGAGTCCAGTGTTGTAAAATGCAGTGTGTAATGCAGTCTGAGTGTTATCGAAACGTAAAAGTTGGAAAAATGCGTTTCGGTTTAAAGTTCTTGTTGCAGGCTGTGTTGTTGTAGTCGTCGTTGTTGTCGTTGTTGTTGTCGTTGTTGTTGTTGTTGCTTAAATATGCTGGCCCAGCGAGGCGACCAGCTTGATCAGTTGATTGCGCTTGGCCTTGATGACATCCTGATGCAAGGGCTGGACTCCATCGACGCTGTCATAGCGATTCACATAGTCAGTGAGCTGATCGGCCATGCAAATGACGTGGATGCCGCAGTCGTAGTCGTTGCTCTGTTGCAGGCAGCGCATGCCACGGAAGCGTGCATGCTGCATGTCCAGCACGTCTTTGATATTGTTGACCAGCTCCAGGGAGCAGTTCGTATTGCCGCCGCCATACGAATCGAAATGAAAGAAGCTCTTGTCCGGCCTGGAGGCCACAACCAGCGACCAGTGGGCGCCGCCCCGATCACGCGAATGACTGTCATTGACCGCTATGAAGATGAACGGCTTGCGCAGCACCTGATGCTGCGAGACCAGCAGTCCGTGCAGCTCCTTGTCGTCCATATAGAGCATGCACTGCGACATCTCCGGGGTGACAAAGAGAAAGTCCATATTCGATTTGTATTTGATTTCCTCCAAATAGGCGAAATAGAAATTCAATATTGCATCGTTCAGCCAGTGCGGTCCGTGCAGCAGCTGCACATCGCTCATGCGCAGCGCGTTCTTGCTGAGCGATGCCAAAATGGGATCGGCACGAGATGCCTTCGGCTTCTTACTGTGCACCATGTTGGTGCTGCTGCTGCTGTTGCTCGAGCTAGCTGGGCAAATGTTTGCATTGCTGTTAATGTTGTTGCTGTTGCTGCTGTTGTTGCTGTTGCTGTTGCTGTTGCTGTTATTGTTGCTGCTGTTGCTGTTAATGTTGCTGCCGTTGCTATTGCTGTTGCTGTTACCTCCATTACTGTTACCATTGCTATTGATATTGTGCTGATCGCCATTGCAATTGCTATCATGATTGTTGCCATTGCCATTGCCGTTGCCGCTGAGATGGCCATGGCCATGGCTATGGCCATTGCCATTGCCATTGCCATTGCCATTGATGCCGTTGCTGTTGCAGCTGTGGCTAATGCTATTGCTGGTGATCTCGCCGCCATGGCCATCGCCCATGGCGTGCTCGTCCAGCTCACTGATCAGATTCTTGTTGTCATTGTTCGCCTCGTCGAGGGCAGCTGTTGCTGCTGTTGCAGCCGCTTGCACGCGACGCTCGGCGCGTTTCTTTTGGCGCACGTTGCGCGGCATCTTCTAATCAGTCTAAGTTGCCTTTAGCTCCTTTAGTCGTCCGCTCGTCAGGCGTGGCAAACTCAGCAAAACCTGGAAAATTAGCACAGAGAAGACAGAACTGATCACAAGCAACTGAGGGACATCCGAATTCGTTCCGCTTTTACCTCACTTCGTACTTACGCAAAAACCAATTTAATGTGAATTTTAAATCCAAATTCAAACAAATAGTTTGAATTTCGTCCCTTTCGCTTCTGACAACTATTGCAGCAACTGTGTGGATTGCTCAAACAGTTTTGACTGCCAGGCTCTAGGGCAAATGTAGGCGGCAGCACAGCCAGTGTTGCCAGATCACTCAAAAAAGCTCGTTCGCTTTTCTCGGCTAATCGTTAATCGTTAATCGTTACGTCCATATATCGATTGACTTATCAATTTTTAAATGCATCTGCCTCTGAGAGAGTGTGGGAAAGTGAGTGAGAGGGAGAGAGAGTGAGAGTGAGAAGGAGAAGGAGAGACGGGGAAACTTCGTTTAACCCATTAATTTTCTGATTTTGGTGTATTCTCTTCTCTATTTCAAGTTCATTTCCATTTCAAATGCATTAACTGAAGGTAAGCGAAAGAGAGAGAGAGAGAGAGAGAATGCCAAAATTCCTGCTTTCGAGCTATTCGAATTTCGATTACATATCGATTGTTTCTCTGTTAAAGGGAAGGCAGAGAGCTGAGGCTCTCGCTATCAGCTTTGCAGCTAAGCAAGTTCTCATTTCGATAACTTTCCGTTTACCTAGAAGCAAGTGCAGCTAAGCTTCAGTTAATCGCGTTGCTTAGCTAACGATAAATTTGAATGTTTTTCAAAAATATCGCTTGATAAAGCAGTGAAACTTTTGACAAATGAAATGTGTCTGAGAGAAGGAAGGGTGTGCGTGTGCGTGGGTGTGGGTGTGGGTGAGTGTGTGCATGTGCTCTTCGTGCTCGACTGTGCTTGACATTTGCCCAAGCTGCCGTAACAAATCCAGTTAATTAATTTAAATGTAATTTTATCTGCCTCCTTTTGGTGCATGCTCCAAATACATAAATCCATTAAAGTGTTGCGAGAGTACAATAGAGACGCATATAGTCGATATATATATCTGTTTGACATTTTTGCCAATTGAAGCCTATTTCATGGAATGCTCAGATTGATTTTTGACAAATTCATTGACATCTGTGAAGCATAGGGAATCAGAAAACCCTCTGGGTCACCTGTCTGGCAATTGGCCAATTGGAATTCAGTAAATCTCGTCACTCATCAACGGCTTCGAGAGGAATTTGTGTTCAGGTGGGGCAAATATAATTGCTTCTAAATATTTCTCTTGTATTTAGATACAGATACAGGGTATCTGGCAGTCAGGCACTCTCGGCTAGAGCACTGCTACTTGTCTTTGTTTTTTCTCATTGTTTTAACTCATTTCTGGGAGCTTTCATTTTTGTTGCTGCGCGCGCGGTCAGGATTTATTTAAAGGGATTTGTCGTCCTCGTCGTTGTCCTCCGTAATTTCATTTGCTTGCCAGCTGCGACGTGGGCATATGCCACACCCCCTCACCCACTCCCCAGGCAGCGCGGGTCCTGCTTGCCAATAGCTGTGAAAAATAACATTAACGCGACATTCAGGCAAAAAAAGAAGCGAAAAAGGAAGGCAGCACATAATACTCATGAAGAGGCCAGCGTGTGCGTGACTCATTTGCATATAGGCACACACACACACACACACACACACACACACGCGCGCGCACATGCATATATGTGGCATATATATCTGAGTCTACGCGATATGGACTTATCCATGTGACCGAAAATCTTCTTATCCCATTTGGTATTGTCGTTTCGAGGCTGTTTATGGCCTGCGGCCTGGCCTGTTCGTCAGCTCATTTAAATTAACAGTGAGCGACGGTGGGGCGGCCGGGTGTGGCAGAATGTGGACGGACATGCCGCACAGGCGACGCCATTTCCTCTGTATTTTTTGTGCGTTTTGTTGCTTTTTGTCGGCTGTTTAAAACTTTAATAAATCGATTTGTGGCGTCCAAAATTGAATTTGCTTCAATGACTTTGCTCGCTCAACACTTTCGGATACCCTGTAAATAGTTATACGCAAACAAAGGGCCGACACAGTTGAACTTTGTCAACTTTTACCTAACTATAGTCGATTCAGGGCCTTGCCATGCCACACTGTCACAGCAGACAGGCTATGCAAGCACCAATACTTTAAGCTCGCATGCGTTGCGCAACACTGGCAAAAGCCTGAAGCTCCATTCAAGTTTAATATGCACGCAGAGCAGAGCTGGCAACGGGTTAAAGCGTCAAAGCATCACATCTCTGGATGCTGCTGTGTTGGGTAGCTTGGGGATTACACTAACTTAGCCCAACCAAAACACGCGAGCAGCTCTTAAATCTGAAATAGCAAACTCTACTTAAAATGCAATTATAACATTACGAGCGAGAGAGAGAGAGAGAGAGTGAGGGAGGGAGGGAGAGAGAGCTAGAGGGTGCGAGAGGGCAGCGTGCGGATTAGGGATAATATGCAGTCAGACAAATGGAAATTCTGAAAAGCACAACGCGCTCTGGCCAAGCCATAGAGAAAGAGTGAGATAGGAGCTGAGAGAGAGCGAGAGGGAGCGAGCAGCTTACCTGAAGTGGGAGTGTGGTCTGAGCAGAGAGCACAGAGCAGCATAGCTTACTAAAATTGAATAGCCAAAAATCAAACTAAAGAATGTTTCGAATACTTTTGATCTATCTCAATCTCTATGTCTCTCAATCTAGCTCAATATCTCTTCAACTCTATTTCTCTCTCTTTCTCTCTCTCAATCTTCCTTAATCTCTGTCAATCTTTCTCTCTCTCTCTCTGTCTCTCTCTCTTTCTTTATCTAACTCAATTTTTCTCAATCTCTCTTAAACTCTCTCAGTCTCTCTTTCCCACCCTTTCTCTCCGCCTCTCCCCCTCTCTCCACCCTTTCTCTCTCTTGCTTAATACACTTTTTATTTCTTTATGTTGTAATATAGCACATATAAATTTTAACAACAAATTGAAACGATTTGAATAATTGCGAAACAACTCGACTTACAGAAATTCATCATTTTTTGTCGCAATATGAATTCCATGGAGTCACTTTTTGTTGGCCTTTTCTTTTTAAGCAGCTTACAAAGAAATTTGCAATATGTTCTCATGATATTGTTCATCCAATTGGAAGCTGGCCAAGGGGCGGGGAGGGTGCTGCCTGGGGTCGGAGCTACCATAAAACCAAATGGAAACAAAATCATGCGAAAAATCATAGCAAGCAAAAGAACATTCAGTGGCAAAGATATTGAATTCAATTATGCTTATGGCCACAGCTAGTCCGAGAGTGAGTCGGAGAGTTGCAGTCGGACGCAACCGACTGCATGATACCCGTGCACGTGTTGAAATATCGAAAATCGATAATTATCGATTCTGAAAGCTAAAGCTGTGAATGATATTGCTTACACTTGTATTCAACTTGTAGGTAAGAGAGTTAAGGGGCTTTAAAGGATTGACAGTAAAAGGACCTCAATAATTCATCTAGAGACGAGGCATAGATAGTCCAATATACTCACTCTACGCGCATAAAAATGTCTTGTGAATCAGAACTGCACAAAGCTCTCTTTGTTTCTATCTCTTTGAATACATATATCTATATATGAATATATATTCTGACTATGTTCGAATTGTCAAAAATATTATAAAGGATTCAAATTAAAGCACGCCCCAAAGCTATAAAAATGCGTTGCGAACAAGTCAGCGTGCAAATGCAAGGAGCACTTGACTAGCAGATACCCTGTAGCTATGTAACAGAAGAAAATAAGAAGAGAAATGCCCAGCTCTATTTACCATTCGAATAGCTTCAAGTCCTCCTGCTATAAGAGTTAAGGGGTAAATATAACTTAGCGTTTTATGGTTCTATATAACACAGCTTCAGGAGCAGATTTCTGTGCTGGGATTATTACCAGTTACAGGGTATATAGACACGCATAATTACATTTATATAGGTAGTAAAAATACCTACAACAAAAGCTCTTAGCTCAAGCGCCATAACAAGAACAACGACAACTGTTGTTGGCATTTTATTAACTCAAGCGATATGATTTTATATATATATATATATATTTTTATATATAAAATATGCATAAAAAATACAACAACAAGGCTGCACTCGCTGCAGTAAATGAAAAAGACAAGTGCCCCAACGGAGAATGCCCGACTGGGAGATACCCTGAGTGGCGCCTGACGAGCATTCCAGCCAATAACTGTATCTGTATCTCAGAACCGACTGCAATTGCGCGTCTATTTATACAACTCCAATAAGAGCTCCAATAAGAATAGAACTCCAATTGCCAGGTGCCTATGGCAGCTAAGCAAAGGGGTTCTCTGTTCCTTTGTGCAAAACTCAATCTGATTCTGCTGATTATTCCCAGAGCTACTCGTACGCTGATCTCTCCCTCTGCCTGTTACATGCACATAAAAAAGTCGTAATGCCCCAAATTCCCATTTGCAATGTTTAGGCCAAGGAAATGCCTAAGAAAAGGAAGAGTAAGCGCGGGTGAGCGAGAGGGAGGGATCAG